AAATAATATAAAGATCATGTAAAATGTTTATTATATGTACTCTAATGACATGAGGCTTTATAAACAATTTAATTAAAGTGCTAATTTCTTATTTTATCTTCGTCGGTTTGGCTGTTCCGATTCTAATTCCGCTAGATAATTATAAAGTATTTCAATGATAATAAAAATATCATATCATATAACTTTCGTGTTATCAAACCATAAACAAAATACAAATTAATAGATTTAAACACTAATATTGTAAGTATCTGGCATGGTTTAACATTTTCGGCTCTTCGACTAGAACTTAAAATTATTCTATTTATTTTACACAACAGATAAAAATCAAATTGTTTCCACAATAACATTTGAATTTAAGTGACTGTTTTTCAAATATGCAAAAGAAACTTTAGATACATTATAAATATAATAATAATTCAATCTACTTGAATGTATAAAAAAAAAAAAGAATATTATATGTACATCTAGCCTTTATTACAAAATATAATTGAGAAGCAAGAAACTCTGGCATACCAATTGGAAACTGTATCTTTTAATTAAATACAGTATGTTGCACAATATATACACAAGTAAATAAAACGCTGCATACATATTTACAATTTTATAAACGGGTCTTCCACCATACTTCGTCCACACCAGGGGCATTCATCAATCACTTCAGGAAATTCTGGAGGTAAAAAGGTAAAAATTAATCTCGCCATCCTTCCGGTTAAGCCACAGTTCGGGCTCCACCTTCATTGCCAATGTTCATTCGTGTGTACCCCGCTCCACGACTTTGACGACCAAGTCCTCCAGTGGACGGTGATTGGGATATCTCTTCGAAGGGCTCAGGGTATCTACAAGTGGCGTTTCGAAAGAGAGCTCTGACAACTAAAACTGCGCTGTTAAGCTGAAAGCGCTACCATAAAGAACAGGAAAAACATATATGATTTAGAAGGCCCATCTCGAATATATAATATGGTATGCTTAATTCCATCACGCACTAGAGCACTGCAGCAAGAGTGAGTGGCGGTAGTTATCGATGAGAGCAAGGTAAAACTGTAGCGGACTGTGCCATGTACGGATAATCAGGAATTTGCTGCCAGTCATTATTGGCAGGGTTGCCATCCGTCCTGGAATTCCGGGACATGCCCCGCTTTTGGACGTATTGTCCCGGTGTCCCGACCTGACACCAAATTGTCCCGATTTTCTGCTGTTTCGATAAAAAATTCGTCATTTTGACAAAATGCCATTCAAAACTTGAAGAAGTTTTTATCGAGACAAGTGAAGAATTAGCTTGAGAAAAGCAGCGTAGATGAGAAAGTACAGTTTTTTGACAGGGAAAATTTAATTTACGTTTCATTTACTTATGTGAGTGTGACTAGTGAATGATTTCAAATGGAATTTTTTTTATTTTGATGGTCATTATTAGCAAATAGAGTTACAGTTCAAGCTATCTCTCTTTCACTCTGACATGGCGTCGCTTTGCAAATCGGTGCGATAATTCTCGCTTTTAGCATCGCATCGCTTATCGCGGCCACTTTGACATCAGCCTAACACAAGATCGCAAAAGCTTAAAATTGCTACAGGCAGCAAGAGCAAGGGCATACAAATGCTCATAGTACATGTGGCATACTGTAAGTGTGTGTGTGCAGGCTCGTCGCGAAAACATTTTCATTATGCGCACCAACGCTTTCATACTCTTCCGACAAATAATAACGAAAACGCATGGCAAACGGCTTAAAGAGTTCGGAATATTCTTCACACAGAAGGGAAGGCATGGGTTCTTGCTGCGAAGAAATTTCAATTTTCGTGAGCTGCTGCTTGTGCTCACAATGTGAGCCTTACATGCATACATACATATACACATTTGAGAGAGCAGAGAGCAGAGAGCAGAGAGCAGAGAGCAGAGAGAGAGAGAGAGAGAGAGAGAGAGAGAGAGAGAGAGAGAGAGCAAGGGAAACATTCAGCGTGGAGGGATCTTTTATGCACATGAAGAAAAATGATTTTGTGTTCCCATATTTTCGTAGCCCGAACCTGAAAGTGAGGAGCCGGGCAAATACGACGTGGTCTGGGAACTAATGCTCGAAAAAAGTGTGCAAAACGCTTTAGACTACTTGTCCGGTCTATGTGTTCTGTGGATAGTGTTAGTGCTCTAGCTCTAAAGGTGTAACTAGTTTTCGATAAGGTTTTTAATCGATAACAATATATCGGGAGTAGTTATCGATTTTGGGAGAAAACTCGATTCGCGAGTGATATACACGGACCTAAGGAAACAATTTCAAGTCTCTAGGTCTTATATCTTCTGAAATCGATGAGTTCATACATACGGACGGACGGACAGAAAGACAGACGGACATGGCTAAATCAACTCAGCTCGTCGCCCTGACCAAGAATATATATACGTTGTGGGGCCTGCCACGCCTGCTTCTGCCTCTGACAAAAAACCATTATACCCTGATTTCCCATTTTCGATGGTCTCAGGGTATAAAAACAAAGCCAAAAATCACTATACTTACAGATGTATTCATTCTGGGATAGTTGAGTTTATTCTCTAAATCTAAGGAAAATAAATATAACTATGTATTTCTTCTCAACATTTTTTTTTTTTTATTGATTTTTGTATATATCAGTATTCGTTTGTATAATTAATTGTTTTAATACATCGAATTATTTTCTAAATTAATTTTTGCGTTATATCCTTATTAATGCCTTTCTTATTTTTGCTTTTGTTTCGTTTTTTAATAGGTAATGTAACTACGCATTTATAATAAGTGGGGTGTATATAACATTTTATATGTATGTATAGATATAAGTATATAAATACTCCTTAAGTCTAGACACGTTTATTTGTATTAACCTCTTAGCTATACATATTTATATCTACTTACTTACTAAAAGTCCTATTAAATATAAACGGAACAATTAACCAATATTAATTGTAATTAGTTAATTTCATAATATATATTTTATCTTTATTTTTTCATTGAATGCAAATTATTTATTAACGCTGCCATCTTCTGTGCATATTTTAAATACATGTGTATTTGCACACACAACAACAATCTCTCTTAGTCCTTATAAAACGGAAATCAAGTGATAGGGAGAGAGAATGAAAAAGAGACAAAGGCAGCGAGAGAGAGAGAGTAGTTACAAATATGAACATAAGTATGCTCCATTGTACGTATGTATCTTAGATGCAACGAAATGAAAAGTCATTTATAGACTGAGGGGCAAACTTATATCCATACGTACAGACATTACATACATATTATTACAAAATTAATTTGTTGAATGTATTTAGCATGTACAAATGCAAAATGCTTCTCCTTCTTGTTATTATTAGCTTAGAAGTTAAGATCAATAAATAAATCTGTAAATATTGCAAAACTGTTTCTCATATGCACTATTTACTAAGTAAACATTTAAATAAAAACACAGAAAATTGGAAGCATAGTTAACGTAAATATAAGTTTTTGTTTGTTTTGCTTTCGCCTTTGCTCTTGCTTTTGATTAGAATATAGACTAAAGCTAGTGTTTAGTTTCTAGACATACGTCTATAGATATGTGTTTTTACCTATAGAACTATATATCAAACCATTCTGTCTTTAAAACTGTGGCTGAATATTAGTTTCGTTTTATTGTAATTCAATAAAATGGAATAAGCAAAATAAAACATCTGCACACACTTTTGTGGGGCATTGTACCTATTACAAATTTATTTATGCATATTTCAACGCCTGACACATAGTACACAATAGTGTGTATGCGACTGGGACAGTCCGCTGCTTATGGTATGTATGTGTGCATCTCTCTTGACACGCGAATACATACATACATAAATGATGTTATTYTAATAAATTACACATAGTAATGCACACATACATATCCAAATTCCTTAAGTTGTTATTGTAAGGTGTCTGTATGTGTAATTCTTTAGATTCACAAATACTTCAATTGACTTAAACTGTGTGTGGGTAGGTGATTGATTGTGTTTGTGTTTGTGTTTGTGTTTGTGCTTACACATCTACAATACATCAATCAATATGTACATATATTTCAGTTTTTTAAATTAAGTATTTAACAGTCTTTTTCTTCTAATTGGCGATGGCTTTACGCACATTGTTGTGTTTACGCATATACATAAATGCATACATACCTATAATGCATATTTATCGAATGTTGTATGATGTAAACACCTAAGTATGTACAATGGTTTAATTATATGTATATAAGGTGCGCGAAATGTGGATTTGTTTTGATTAGAAAGTAAAGATGAGGTTTGGGGCCGAAATAAGTAAATGGGAAAGTTTTCTCGGTTTTCAGATTAATCATATTTGGTCTTCGACTTTATATGAGCATGTAAATTCGCAAAATTGCTATGAATATTGACACAAAGAAGAATACTAAAAAAATAGTTTACTTTAGTCAAACATAGAATACATAGAACTTCATTCTTCATTGGGGTCGTTTAAACGAAACTTCCTGCTAAGTACGCGATAATTTAATTATCTTTGCCAATATCCACAAAAATTGGCATATGGAATAAGAGAATAAATAGAACTTTCTCTGATGAGAATAAGAAATTAGGATATTGTTCGTGACCTACGAGCATCCAAAATAGGCCACGTGTAACGAAATGACGGCTGCATTGGGTAATAGTCGAAATACTTTAATTTGTTGGGATCTCTTTCACTCACATTTGGAGGTTGTAATCATTGCGGATAATAATGTTGTTGAATGAAGAAAAGTGGAAATGCTTGTACGAGTAATGGAATAGGTAACCAACAAAGTTAGATTGTGGCTTTAAGATAAGAATTATAAATTGTTCCAGTTACTTATTTCGTTTGAAAATAATTTGTTTAATTTCTTTAAATTGTTATGTATATAAATGTTATGTTTTGTGTGCTATTATGATTAAAAATATTGATAACTTTTTGGAGCTAAAACAGCTTTCTTTCTTTTCTATCTTGATCGCTCCTTATATGCCGCAGGGAGAATCAAAGAATGGGATACTTTTTTCAGTATTAGCTATCAGGTCCAGTTTTTTTTTTTTATTAAATTCGTACGTTCTTTCTTTTATAAAACCATATATTTACATTCATGACTAATAGTACATTTCTCGAAAATAAAAGAAAGCCATTAATACTGCTTTTGTTTAACTGACGCCCTAACAGAGATATAACCAGATATATATGGTATGCTCGATCCTGTAGAACCCTTAAAATTTTTTTCCCTTATAGATCATGTGACCAAATTTGCGATTATACATACATGCATGTATGTATGTATATCTATATATATACTTTGTTGTTTTGACTTGGCATAGTGTGTTGGAGTAAGGCACACACTTTGATAATTAATGGGGCGATAATTTTTATTGGCTGCTGGTATACTAAGTATTTATATGTATATACATGTACGAATTTAAGAATATATGGTGTAGTTTTGGCACTTGTCCAATAATGGCCACATGTTACTTATGTTACGACTATGGCAATGACGATGATGGATGCAGTAGAGATAAATAGTGAGGGAGAGAGAAATAAAGCGAGAGCGAGGCGTAGTACGGTATTGCACGGTGGAACCAATTACCTGTTGCATTTTAGCTAATTGGCTACCTGGCGTATGCTGATCCTGTAACAAAAGCGATTAAACCTGACTGACTGACTGCTCTAAATCGCCTCAGATCGAGTGAGTGTTGGTAGAACGTCTTTGGCAGGCAACAAACGCTGAGTGACGTCATATCTATGGTTGCATATGCTGTCATGCTACTGCTAGACTGCTACGAAACGCTTATTGCTCCAGTTTCAGTTGAGGTGGGTGTCGCGCTATTGCCAGTCGCTGGTGGCGGATCGGATGTGTTGCGACGCTTTATACTTAAAGTGGGGGCGTCACTGGACGACTGGGCGACTGGACCAATGTTAATGTTGCTGCTGTTGCTTAGTCTGCTGCTGTTTGTGGCTGCTAGATGATTGCTTAACCGTTGCTGGAAGTGTTGACTAAAGCTACTACTACTAAAGAGCGAATGATGTGGATGTGGATGTGGATGAGGGTGCGGGTGCTGATCCACATGCGGGTGTAGATGCGGGTGGGTAAGTGGTGGTGGCTGTGAGTGTGGCTGTGGGTGTGGATGTGGCGAATGTGAGTGCGTGTAAGGATTGTGAGCCAAAGCCGCTGAGACCGATTGAGTTTCGAGCAGTGCAACATTGTTGTCCTCGCGGCGCTTAGTCAGTTGATTGATGCTTAGAGGATTGTTAATGTCACGCGGATTGGCGCCAATCGGATTGCGATGTAGGCTTATTGCAGGTAGCGATGGAGGTGTAGACGCTGGTGCCGATACCGATATGGGTCCCGATACCGATACTGATGCAGGTGTAGCAGCAGCAATCGTCACCGACGTTGCCTTCATGCCCGCGTTACTGTAACAGTTGAAGCTATTCGTTGCCAAAGAGATAGCTGTAATAGTACTGGGGCTGCTGCTGACAGTTGCAGATACAGCTGGGAAAAGTTGATCCGGATTCAGGCCCATGCCTAAATGGCTGAACCGGTTGCGAAGCATCATGGCGCGCTCATTGGCAGAGTTCGGTGTCGCAGCAATCGATGATGAAACAGTGCTAGAGGTATTCGGTGTGCTGTTACTAATGCTACATGTTGAGCCGATACTGGAACTGGAGACTGAACCTAAACCTGAACCTGTACCGGAACCTAAACCTGAACCTGTACCTGTACCGGAACCGGATATAGATCCAGATCCAGACGCAGATATTAACAACTGACTGCTCGCCGACGACGTCTGTTGCTCCGTACTACTGCTGTTAATAACAGAAAGTGGACCAACATTGCTATTGTTGTTGCTCGTGTTGGTGGTGGTGTTGATGACGGGCGTCATTGGACTAGTTAACATATTCATATTAAGTGGACTGGCCAAGCTCGTCGTTGTTGACGGACTCTGTAGGCTGGAGAGCCCACTCAGACATCCGGGACTTGACAGCGATTGACTCATTGACTCAGTGTCCTCATTGTCGGCGAGCTTATCCTGATTCATATCGATCATTTCATCGCCGCTACCCGAGCTTCCAATTCCGGCGCCACCGCTCACCAGTAGGTCCTCATCGTCATCGTCATCATCATCGCTCAGCTGGCTCAGATTTCCAGTGTCGTCCATGCCGCTGCCTTCCTCATGGCCGTCTCCATGCAGTGCCTCCATATAGCGAATGCATTTCTTTTTACGTCTGTACAAGCAAAGAGTGGTAGAAAAGGGGAACTATTATTAGTTGATTACAGAAACTAAACTGCATTGAAAGCATTGCTAATATCTGCTGTAGCTATTACAATATGAAGGGCATTCCACAACAGAGATGCAGAAAAAATTTAAATAATAATAATAAAAGAATTCATGCAA